TGTTAATAGTGGTGTGGGACTCGATTTCGAAATCCAAAACTATTAATTTCGACCGTGGTGCAAGAGGACACACAGCCCCACGAAGTCTTCGTGCTCATGCCTGATCGGTAAGGTGACCAGGGTCGCTCGGTTTCTGCGCTGCAGGCCTCCCGATTTATTCCAGGTTTGTTAGAGGAACTATCCTTTGGCGTACGATGATATTAATGTTGGTGGGTTGCAACTAGCGCTGGGAGTTCTATCCGAATTTTTTGAGAATCCGGATATTCGAATATCTGATTTATAAATGTGAATATCCGGCTATTAACCGGATATCCGGATAACAAAATGAATGAATATTATACGGATATGGGAAAATCTGTATGACTTCGTTGTGGGCGTTTTCCGCCATAGGAGAACATTTTCTTCCATATAAAAAGTTGTCAAACATACTTTGCATGGAAGAAATGCGTAACAGAGTTAGCAGAAAAGAATTATCAAAAATCAGCGGGATCTTTTAGCTCGATGTGTATGTTATTTAGATTAAAAAGAAGAAGTATATCGAATTTCGCAAAAAAAATCTGCGGCGCCCTATGTAAATTTTTATCGATTTCGAATCAAAATTATCCCTCCGCTGAACAAGCAACTAGTAATTTCACGTAAATAAATACATATGTATGTATGTGCATATGTTTGTGTGAATGCAAGCTACTTATACTTACATATGTTTTACTGCAGGGTAAGTGCACTACTTACGTACGTTTGTATGTACATATGAAGATATCAAATTTCACTCCATATTTCCTCGCTAACCCCCCTCCATTGTTGAGCATGACCGCAGAAAAATGCACATACATATCTCATTGAAATATGAAAGTGAAAGCCATTATAATCATGTCTGTCCGATTGAATATTTTCACGTTCGAAAACGGAGTTTGTAGATTTCAACATTGCAATCACTTCTGACTAATTACTTGGTTTTACTTGGACTTGAGCAGCCAGCGTTGATGCCTTAAAAGCAATGGCACAGTAGCAGGGAATGTTTGTTTATACATGCATACATACATACATACATACATATGTACGTACATAACTCATAAATGGAGTATTTGTCATGGAGATCATGACGGACGGCATGCATGCGAAATGAGCGCTGACATTTTGAGATGAAAATGTCAGATTTCGCCGCAGACGAGTATCCGCGCCAGAATACCTACTAACGATTGACGAACGTCTTTGTCCGAGTGCAATTTGCTAAGAAACGCTAATTATGTGTGTATATGTATGTATGTATGTTTGGAGTATATGTATTGCTCTTTTCGTGGTCCAACTTGGTCCAACTGCTGGTTACTTGCATGCAATTTATTGCACTCTTAAACATTCAAACACGTTGTACATACTACCACAAATGTACCTATGGATGTAGGTATGTAGGTATGTAAATATGTTTGCGCCTTTATTTATTTATGACTTTTGCATTTTCTGTTTATCGCCTTTTTTCTTTCGAATGCACAATCTTTTCGGTGTGCTTAGTGGTTATGGCGCATCGTTTGCTTATAAACATACATACATA